GCGATTATAATTTGCACTTTGTCTAGACCCACAGATTTGTATGCTCCGTCATGTCATATGTCAATGTCACCCCTCTCGTGCTACTCCCATAACTCAGGCTCTGAATTAAGCGCTAGGCCTTTATTATATCAATCAAAAGTTGAGTACCTATCTTTATATGATTGTTTTCCGATATTACAGCACAATGATAACGCATTACCATAGTGACTCTCTGGAAATATCCAAAGTCTATGTTATGCAGCTATTTCCAGACAAAAACGACAGAAAATCAATAATAAAAGATATTCTAATTATAAAATCGATAATATCTGGATATTTTTAATTTAATCTGTTACATCATCTGATAATATTAATTTGATATAAGTAATTTATAACTGTTACGCAAACAAAAAGAACCACGGATCTTATAAATTCTTACCTTACGAATCTGTATTTAACATCCTAAGTCCCATTAATTTTTAAATGAGAGTCATTTAACTTATTGATTACAATATTTATCTTCTTACAAGATATCTTAAATTAGTCACATTAAAAATTCTACAATTATCTAAATAACTTTTCGCCCATATAATAAAATTTGAGTTTCTAATACAGATAGAGATACAGATTTGAAAGAGAAGACGAATTTGGATGTATTTTTTTTTTTAGCATTATATTTTAAAAGATATTATAATAATGATAAATAGAGTAAAGAAATATCGTTTTGCAACTATTTATTTTGTACAATCGGCAAGCTATTATCATGATTAATTTGAAACATTAAAACCGTATCTTTTATACGGCTAATTAAAATTGTACACTATTTGATTTTATTTTCTTTTAACTTGATATTGATAACCCGAAAACCTTACACTTTTCGGTTTGTATGAGTAATTTATGTAATTGTTTAATTCCTATATAATTTATTTTTTTGGTGTTGTTAATTTATTTAATTTATAAATAAAAAATCAAAGATATGCGAATCCCAAGACTAGTCTCTTATCAAAGAATGTTGTAAATAATAGATACTCATTAAATAAGTAGAATTATTTATTTAGGATATCAAAATAATGAAAATTTTATTGGTCATAAAATAATAATGTAAAATAAACGAATATTTTTCATTGTTTGTAAAAATCAAGAAAATGAAATTTATTCGATTACACAAAAAAAAACACATTCGCCATGAAAAAATATGGCGATGATATACTCAGTATTAGTAACTTGTAAAATAAATTTTAATTAAATAAGTTTGTAGTTAATATGATTGATAATAAGGGGGTGCAATATATCTCCGATTTTGTGAACGACGTGACTCTCAGTGAAGTCAAAATAAAGAATGTGCCATTTTAATGGGGGATTTTTTTTTTGTTTTTATCAAATGTAATTAAACTTAAAATGACAAGTTCCATTTTCATTTTAAATACAGAATGGAAACGACCACCAATATTTTTAACGCAAAATATGATTATTTTTTATAAGTCCTAAAAATTCATGATGATTAAGCGCAAGCAAGGAATCCTGGGATCGATTCCCATTCCTCTATGGTGGTTACTCCACAATAGTTAGCTACATGATTTCTTGGCTCTAAGTAGGTATAACTGGTTATTCAGTCATCCTACCTTGATGATTGAATATACAGGGTGTTAGGTAAATGGGTATATGAGCCGACACTAGCCCATGTTAACATGGGCATATAAATGGTATGGTGAAGTCAGAAATTTGATATCATCATTTTATTTTTTTTAATTTTCATACAAAATAAATTTTATAAAATCCGATTTGTATGAAAATTAAAATGATTAAAATGAAGATATCAATTNCATTTTATTTTTTTTAATTTTCATACAAAATAAATTTTATAAAATCCGATTTGTATGAAAATTAAAATGATTAAAATGAAGATATCAATTTTCTGACTTCACCATACCATTTATATGCCCATGTTAACATGAGCTAGTGTCGGCTCATATACCCATTTACCTAACACCCTGTATTATAAATCATTTTAAGAATGATTTCTTTACAACTTGTAATTTTCTAACTTCCGCTACTGAGACGACAAATAAAACAAAAATAATGACCATCGTGAAAAAATATCTCACAGTTATTTTTTGTCATGTTCCGTGAGAATTGTATATAAATATAGATTATTTTTAACAAGTGCAATCGTACTAGTAATATAAACTAGTGTAGAATTAAATTACAAATAATTTATTGTGTATATTCTGGAGTATTTTTTAATTAAAACAAATTTTAATTGAGGTTTTAATCGACAAAACGGTATCTCAAATAATCGTATTGAATTAATTATTACAATTTATTTTTTACGGTCATAAATAATAATGATTTTATAAGTTTCTCAAATAAAATAACTGACTCTGATAATTTGATATTATTTTTATTGTATTTTTATAGAGAAACTTTTATTAACTTAACGGGTAGTAATTATTCTGTTTTTAATTATAATCCCTCTAACTATACAAAAAAAGTCTACAAATACGCATGAGGTACCCGATTTTTTTTTATTATTATTTTCAATAAAATATTAGATGATTTTGTGCGATTTTTATAGCTTAGTTAATTTATCGCCAATTATAGTTACCCATTTGTGATCTTTGTAATTATAAAATTCCCGATAAAATAATTTATTTACGTTAAGAAACGATTATTGTATTGATTTTGTTTACGATATTTCGTAATTTTTATTTTTAATGCATGTGTCAATATAATAAACATCATTTAGTCGTAGAATTACCATTGTATAGATGTTATTGTATTTGGAAATGAATAAAACGAATGAAATGTCTATAATTTTATTTTCCTTTTTGCAGGATTCGGTTGATTTCATATCGTACTTAGGTAGAAATCACTGGTTTAAGATGCTTGTAGAACGTCGCCTTGAACGTGCTTGCGCCGTTTCAAATCGAAGGAAAATCTCCCCCTATTTTTACCCAGGAAAATGACCTGTCCGTCCACACCTGCTAAAAAGATAAACCCCCGTCTGGCGCAGTCGAGTAAGCTTTCTCTACCGCTTAGGTGAAAGCTTCAGCCAAACCAACGCGTGCAAATCGCGTCTACGATGGTGATCACTGCACTTGCATAGGCTTTACAAGTATAAATAAATTCACGAAGGCGAGTGAGCTTTAGGTACCTAGTACCTACTCATTATTGTGTGGTGGATCACTACTATTCGTTTTTCAAAAGACATTACAATATCGTTATCTGCATATAGACACAAGCTCACTCGCCTTCGTGAGTTGCAAGAACTATAACGATCAAGACGTTAATTTCTCTCTCCTAGACAAATTAAGCTAAATTTTAGAAGGTTTTTATTCCGAAATGGCTCTCTCCGACGCGGCGGCGTTTCTTTTTTACTAGCTTCTATACAGAAGCTATCGAAATGAATCTGTCAGGAACGCTTATTTCTCCATTTGTCTTAATTAATTTGTAAATATTGATTACCTACTTACATTTTTAAATGTTATTAGTGAAGTGAACTTTAGAATAGATACTTTTGGTTTTATTTTATTTCAATTTCTATTAACTTATAGAAAGTAGGTGTGTATTACCCACAGAATTTAGGTACTTTTTATTAGTCTTCTCCAACGTGATCAACCTCTCTGACTGTGTTTTCAGGTACTTACCTAATAATAAATACATAAACAAGTAAATAAATCCTTATTTAAGTAAGAAAGATTTACAAAAAAGTAGCTAAGTGCGTGTCGTGCCACGCGCAGTGTAGAGTTCCATAGTAGTCCGTCGTTACTGCAATATATTTCAAAAGCATGCAATTTCTTCATCGAAACTTTAAAGTCAGTTTTAATATTTTCTTCCAAGGAATTTTTATTAGATATGAAATTTTCTAATACTTACATAACTGATCTAATTTATAGTTTTCCTTGAAAGTTCATAAAAAGCACTCTTATTATGAATTTTTCCGGACTTTTCAAGCCAACAGTTTAGTTTTTAGAGGAGGAGGGGGGGGGGTATTCTCGCACTAGGTATGCACCTGTATCGCGAGAAACCAAGAATAATAGTGTCTGTCTGTCTATCTCTGTTCTGTGAACAAACGTGGTGTGCGACTCTACTACTTTGGTGTCAGATATAATTAATTAGCGTCTGACATAGCTCAATCGAGGTTGAAGTGATGCATTACTACATGCAAACTACACATTAATGTATTAAAGCTATTCCAAAAGTAAAATGAGCTCACTCTAAAAATAGAAAAAGTGTATTTGGAACAAAATTTTCATATCAATAAAATCTGATCAACATGAGATTTAAGATGGAACATGCTTCCTTAGTAAGTAAATAAATCTGAGTAGAGTAGATATTATACCTACATAGGTAATATGAAGGAAAGCGGTTAGCGGAACTGACTAAACTTCTGCAATAAAATTGTACGGACCCCTCATTTCGACTACTGCTCACGCCATCTATTCGGAGAATAATTAAACTTTGCAGTTTAATTAACAGCATGTTTTTAAAGCAGAGGACGTGGTCGAGACTAGCGACATCTATTAGTGTAGAGAAAAAGTAGTAAGCAGTCAAGTGTCAAATGAAACATTAAAAAACAACACTAGATGTCGCCAAAGTGTACGGTGTACGCTTTACTACATTATTTTGACGCCAGATAGCAGCACTAGCAGAAAAAGTTTTATACTCCTTTGGTCTTACAAAAAGTGATTAATTTAATTATTCCAAATAACATTAAATAAATATTTGGGTTTATTTAAGAGCGTTTTATATGTATTTGCATTTATAATGCCAATAAATATTTTATAACATTAACGCCATCATAATGGCGCCTTTTTTAAAGAGCTGAAGCTGGCTGAAGTCCTCTGCATAACGCTTCGTTGTTTTTTTTTTTTTGTAAAAGAAAACATGTTTGAATTAGTTTAATTAAAGTTAATTATTTTATAAATAATCAACTTTTAACTTTAACCTTAAAAGGCTTAAAACTTCTTTTCTTGTATTTTGTTTGTGACAACAAATTAAATAAAAAGTTACACGCTGTTTGATCGACCTTGTCATCTCGCCTTTTGAATTGCAACAAATAGCAATTTGTGAATTTTACTATAAAAAAATATTTAGTAGAACATGCTTGGATTGCGATCAGCATTGATTGGCACGGCCCGCGCCAGAACTGTGCTGAGGAACGCACCTTTGCCGCTAAAATTGCAGAAAAAGTATTCCCATCATGACGGGCCCCCACAGCCATTTGACAATATGCCCTTCAGGATCACGAATCGGTTAGTTTTTTTACCATATTAATCATTATAATTATGTATAACATACCTAATACGAAACCATGCAAAATCCGATAGTCCTTCTATCAGTAACTGGTTCTACCGCTTCAGCGCTCACCAGTTGGCGTGACCGCGTGACAGTCAGCCAGCAGGAAATGACAGGAGGACCCTTAAGCTTCAATCACACCAACATCATTAATTTTATTAGCCTTTGATCGCGCCGGCGCGATAGCGAACAGTGGTGTAGTCAGTCACGCGTTGGTGTGGTTGAAGCTTTAGACAGTCTACAGACAGTGGCGTCACCTGATGAGCGCTAAAACGATAGCCCCCATTTTGCACCTACCTAAATCATAGCAACTTTGACGAACACCTCATCAAATACACTGGTCATCACAAAAATCGACCCTTCCGCGACAAGCACTTTCAAAAGTATGCATCCCCACTTCCCACCAATATTGGCACCATTTGAAAGCCTAGTTCTAAACTTCATTTCATTAAAGGAAAGGTTTTTACCCCAAAAATGTGTCTGTAGAAGAATCCAGAATTCCAGAGTCACTTCTTCAAAAAATAGGTACTTACGCTTGAGCCAACTTTTATGGCTATAAAACTGTTAAGTTGGGATTAATCGCTATCCATCTGTTAAAGAGGACACGTGAGATTATTATTTGGTTTTATAACCATAAAAATTGGTCTAATTGATCCCAGAGGTGCGCCCAAAGTGAGGTCTTTTTTCAAGTCACATTTATTGTATATCGCGTTTATGTTAATCGTTTATTAAGAAATTAAATGTGTTTTTCTTTAAGGATATTTATTGGGCTTTCAAATAACACCAATATTGTTGGGGCACCATGATTGTGTCAGTAGAAAAGAGTTTTCCTGTAAAACGTAGGTGGGCCGATTATTGTGATGACCAGTATAGTTATAACTTTTCCTATCTAGGTATCTACTAAATCTATCCTACCTACAATATGGTACATTTTGTCCGTAGGTTCCTGACAACGGTGTTTTTTGCAGTATTTTTCGGTTCCGGGCTGTGGGCCCCCTTCGCTATCGTATGGTATTCCATGGCAAAGAGAACATTGTAATTTTAAATAATTAAATTACCTATTGATTAGAATTTTGTGTTAGTTTTATTGTTAGACATTGGTACCTACCATGTTTGTTAGTAAGATAAACCTACTAATAACCTACACAATACACTTTTTCCTTGTAATGCGGATTTCGCGTGCGTGTAAAAATATCACACTATAAGGGACACCATGGCGGCGCAACCAGTCGCCGGCTACCAACAAAATGTATACAGCTCTACATATAGGGCTATATTTCACCGGGACACCATGGCGGCGCAACCAGTCGCCGGCTACCAACAAAATGTATACAGCTCTACATATAGGGCTATATTTCACCTGGACACCATGGCGGCGCAACCAGTCGCCGGCTACCAACAAAATGTATACAGCTCTATAGAGAGTTACTCACCTGGTGTCCGTTTGGTTGCGCCGCCATGGTGTCCCGGTGAAATATAGCCCTTAACTTACTGATTGTCACTGCGCGCAGAACAAAGATCATATTATTGGACCAGGATCCGCACGCGTGCCGAAATCCGCATCACAGGAAAAAGGCTTTATAATAATAGGAAAAACATGTTAAAATTTTATTTAGGAGCGACTCAGAATCAGTACTAACTTAATCGATTTACATTAGAGAAATCATTCATTCTCCGCTAGGCGCGTTCAAAATTGGCACACGTTAGGCGATTATCACACTGCGCCGCGCTCCACCGCGGTACGCGGGACGACAGATTTAATCATTGTATCTAAGGTATATACTTGCATACCTCAGTTTGTATATGTCAACGTGAAATTGTGAACTCTGACAGTTTATAATATAACGCGTTAGATTGTAAACTAACAGTGGGTTAGGTTAGGTTAGATTGTAATTTAACTACGTCAGATTATAATCTGACAGAATTCACAATTTCACGGTGACATACACAAAACACGCGCGGCACAACACAACACACTGACAACGCGTCTGCGCGCGCGATTTTTTGTATGAAATCTTGCGGACCGCGGCGGAGCGCGGCGCAGTGTGATAATCGCCTTAACCACCATTTACTTGGTTCATAGAAAAATACGTAAAATAGTGTGCAAATACATAATAATTTATGTAAAAATATTTTTTAAATAGGTACTCATACGAACGGGTTTTTATAACAGCGCCTGAACTATTTTCAAAGCAATTTTTCCATATGATGGTGTAAAAAAATGAGGGAGTATGCCATATTTTTTTTATAATTTTTTATCGTTTTTTTAAGATGTGTCACCTCCTCAGATCATAGAACTATGATCTGAGTGTGTCACCTTGTTAAGGACGTGGGGCAATTTTGTATTGATTGTGATCCGTCTGCTTTTACAAATTTTGTATTTACTTAGTTATAGTAGTGTCGATGGGAATGAAGAGTAATGTGGTTTGGTAGTGCGGTGGATCAGAAGTCAGAAGGGCTGATTAAATATAATTAAGTGTTAAATTGTTCTATAGAGCTTATTAAAAAATAAAATGTTTAAAATCACCCTTAGCGCGACCGTCATTCGTGTCGAATTCATAAACACCTTTTAAAACTCATATACACTGGTCATCATAAAAATCGACCCATCCGCGACAAGCACTTTCAAACGTATGCATCCCCACTTCCCACCAATATTACTATACTACACTTGCGAGCAAAAGTATGGAATCACTTACATGAAGTTGTTTCCACGCGATCTTGTGTACAAACCAATTTGTTAATAACAAAAAAAGTAGCACCATTTTAAAGATTAAACTTTTAACTTTAAATTGATACCAAATTCATTTAAATCACACCAGTGTTTAAAAAGATATCCCGGCTGATGTAAAGAAGTAAGGAAAAAGACATGTATCAACTGTTTGATACGTCGCGAGTTGCGGCCTATTTACCCCCCATAAAAGCAAGTGTTTTCGGATTTTTGNAATAAGCGGAGATGTGTATGGATCAACGTGTGAAAGCAAAAATCCGAAAACACTTGCTTTTATGGGGGGTAAATAGGCCGCAACTCGCGACGTATCAAACAGTTGATACATATCTTTTTCCTTACTTCTTTACATCAGCCGGGATATCTTTTTAAATTCTGGTGTGATTTAAATGAATTTGGTATCAATTTAAAGTTAAAAGTTTAATCTTTAAAATGGTGCTACTTTTTTAGTTACTAACAAATTCGTTAGTACACAAGATCGCGTGGAAACAACTTCATGTAAGTGATTCCATACTTTTGCTCGCGAGTGTATATTACCATTTAAATTAAAAGCCTAGTTCTAAACTTAATTTCATTAAAGGAAAGGTTTTTACCCCAAAAATGTGTCTGTAGAAGAATCCAGAGTCACTTCTTCAAAAAATAGGTAGATACGCTTGAGCCAACTTTTATGGCATTAATCGCTATCCATCTGTTAAAGAGGACACGTGAAATAATTATTTGGTTTTTATAACCATAAAAATTGGTCTAATTGATCCCAGAGGTGAGCATGTAAATTAAATGTGAGTTTTTCAAGTCACATTAAAATTTACTGTATATGTTAATCGTTTATTAGGAAATTAAATGTTTTTCTTTAAGGATATTTATTGGGCTTTCAAATAATACCAATATTGTTGGGGCACCATGGTTGTGTCAGTAGAAACGAGTTTTCCTGAAAAACGTAGGTGGGCCGATTTTTGTGATGACCAGTGTATTTCTGCAAATAAGCTTTAAAAAATCACTTTTACACGTCCCAGTATTAACCATACCACTGCTTCAGGACAATAAATGGGCCAGTGCTGAGAAGAAGCAGTGCAGCGCCTAATGCAGCGCAAGAAACTCAGTCGCTATTTTCTGAAGTCGTAGGTATAATGTAAATTGCAAAATTTGCAAATCATTCTGTTCAATCGGATGTAGTCTTTATTACGCATGCGCTGCCATAGCCGGCCGCGAAGGCCGGACTTTTTGTTATCGATAAAGACTCGTTCTGCAACCATCGATTTGAATCGTATAATTTTAATAAATCGATACATTTTCGTTGGAAGGTAAGTATTATCATCAAAAATTGTAAAGCTTAAAGGTATTGGCAATTGATTAATCCTGTGGTGATTTTACATTACAACCTCTCTTGTAGTCCGTAAAAGGCACGATTTTTCGTGTGAAGGAAGAATAATAATACAAACGAATGAGTTCGCGAAGTTTAGGTCCATATTGGTGTTTATAATATTTTTTACAATACTTACAATAATGTAAGTTTTGTTTTTTCCAACACTTTCTTTTCGTGTACCTAATACTTTACCAGGAGGCGGGCGGCCCTATATAAAAATTTCTGATGCAGCAACACTGATCCCGCTCGGATCAATAAAGCGGTCCAGGTACCGGAGAACTTTCGCGGCCCACTTGTTGCGGGAAAATTTTCACGTGCACACAATACGCAGTAAGTAATTACTTACAAGAATTGTACCAAGATTCACCTTGGCTTCATGCAGCATATAACAATGGCGGCTCGAATACGACGCGAAGTAAAATGCCGAACTTGGACTAGTGATCCTGATGCGTTTGAAGGGGAATTTATCCCGGCATCGGATATTGACAGATACGCCAAATTATTTCACGATATAGAAGACAGTAGTAGCTCCGATGATGAAGATATCAATTACACACCTGATATGATTGTCCCTGGTTTCGCACCGGATCCGCCGTATCCAAGATTGTCGTGACTGACAAACTATCAGCATTACCTGATGCTGAAAATGAAGCTTAATAGAAACAATTTACCAGCCCAATTAGGGCATCCGTTAAGATATTACGAAATAAATAAATTATACAAGTATGAAATGGAACACTTCCAAAGTTGGTTTAATCGTTTATGGATTAACAGCTACTATGTCCGAACGCTGAACACCATGCCATTAATCGAGAGCTATTATGATGCAGAGTTTGAAGTGGCAGCGAACCGCTTGAAGCACTTCCCGAAGAACTTTTTTTTGGCTACATTTATCTCTCTCGCTCCCCGCAACGCATACTGCGAATTAAATAAATACACACATTTATTTAATCAGGGTCCATTGCCAAGGATGAGACATGGGAATCCAATACTGCGTATCTACGTCACGCCCTACGAGAAATCGACGCCTTGCAAACAGCATACATGTAGGTTCATTTTACCCCATGAAAACGAGATCACCAAACTGCCCTTAACTGCTGTTCATAAGAGATTAGCCTACTACGCTGGAGATAATCAAGCTCGATTCATAGTTAGCGAAGAGGCTTTGCGCTGTTTGGTGGAGTTGAAACGTAATTGGTCACTCTGCATGTCTGTTTTTGCGATCCCAACAGAAAACGGCAATGTTGTTAACACAGTTGTGTTAGACAGTGAGTTCTCTCTAAAAAAAGAGACAATAATGACAAGAGCACAGAAAATCTTCCGAAAATTTCTTGAAAATACAGTCCAAACACCAGATGTGACGTTACCGAGTAACAACGTCCCGACGACGCAGAGTAGCCAGCAACAGAATGACGATAGCGACGGAGATGAGGGCAAACTCGTTATCGATACAAACCCAAATTCAAGAGATTGTTCAGACGACGAAAATGTGACCGAATGCAATAAAAAGCACAATGCGGATCAACCGAGTACGAGCAAAGCAAGTGATGACAGCAAATTTGATGAATGCACTTGTAATGACCTTGACAAATCACCATCAAGATATTACGCGAAGTGTAATATAACAAATATGGAGTCTATAATGCCGTATACATTTATAGTACACGGCCCACAGCCAGCAGTTCTGGACCGATCCACTCAAGAAGTGGTGGTGGAACCGATACCGGAATACCAATTGGATTTTGCTGCCAGCAAACTGTCGTCCGATGCTAATAAGAGTCAAGGGCTCGCACTCAAGCTAAGAAAAGCGAGTATTCTTAATTTTAGAATAGACGCTTTAACAGGAGAGTTGGTGAAAACAAATTTAACAACGGAATCTGATCCCCAAGTAGATCTCGATCTCGATCAACGACTGTTTGGAATACTGCACCAGTTAAAAGATTCAGAGCCTGGTCACTATGTGTTGAAACATGACAAAGATGATGATGACATAGCGGAATTATACTCTGCTAAAGAATCTGATACGGCCAAGCTAACGCTTAAGTTCGACAGATCACAATTACTTGTGGAGGATGAAAGGGAAAGTATCAAAATCCCGCCCGTGTTATGCCGCGAAACTATTTTGCCAATTCACAAGTTCCGCAGCGTTCTCCCGTGTGCGTTTACATCGCATTCATGTCAAATGCCCCAACGCCGTCGACCCATCGTACGCAGCGATCGCCGCAGTCGTTCGCCGCCTGCGGAATGGCGCAACCGTTCGCCGCCTGGCTTTGAATGCCGCATACGTACGCCGTACCCAACCACACATCGCAGTCGAAGGTCACACGCAGCGGAACGTCGCAATTTTTCGCCAACCGTCGCCAAACGCCACAACCGATCGGCGTCCATCGTCGACGCGCACCGCAGTCGTTCCCTCCTCGCTGCTGAACGCCGCAGTCATTCGCTACCCGCTGTCGACGCTTCCTCTAGGATAGCCGCAGCCGCGGTGTACCAGTCGCCAGCCGCCGAAACCTACATTCAACAATCAGCCGACTTCGCTATAAATGGGATGGATTTCACAACAGTTTCTGAGAATATAACTGCTACAACTAGTGCTGGACCTGTGACAACTAGTGCTGGACCTGTGATTGGTGCCGCAAGCCTTACAATGGAAGCCGGCGAGGAAACCTCAAGCACAAGTCTTAAGAACGATCCTCAGTTGAACACTAGTGAAGGACCTGAACAAGTAACGGGTGCAAGACTCCAGCCCGAACCCGGCACGAGCGCACAGTCTGCGGGCGCTCTGACTTCCCCTGGCTTGGAGGAGGCCTATTTATTTTCACTTCCCCCAGGTGATTCATGGTAAAGGCATTATTACGTAGATCCCTACTTACTGTATGTTTTTAACATTCAGACACATCTATCTATTTATTGAGATGAACTTAATTCTGACTGACTTGATGTACCTAACCTTCTTATAAAATCACACTTAAATTTTCTGTTCGACCCCCTCATTATTAGATAATTGGGATAAGTAGGAATATTGTCTTAATATAGGTCTGACATTTTGAATGAGCGTTTTCTATAAGACCTCGGCAGCACCTGGTAAAGCGGTGGTGGGACTACCGCATTTGCAATCACCGCGTGCGCCAAACTCTGGCGCTACTCACCATAATATTCGGTGTGTGCACTTCATTTTGATTACATGTAGGTAAATAGGTCAACAAATTTAAATGTTTAAATGTGTCAATTAGTAGTAGGTAGTAAAATATGTGTAAAAAACAATGTAATGTGGTATGTGGTACCTACCTACCCTCCAACTTACTACTAGCATTTGTTTTAGCGGCAGACAATGTGACTGAGTTTCTTGGGCGCTTCTTCTCAGCACGTCTTGTCCAAATATTTTTATTCCGAAGCGCTGGTAGAGTAAAAACATTATCTATAATTTAAATTGTAAGTAGGTGGGTATGTAGGTACAATAATACTTAAGTAAGAATATCGATATTATAGGCAAATAAGTAACTAAGTTATTGACTTTGATATTTTTTAGTTTTTGGTGATATTTATTTAATTTTATAAGTTTGTGTACAACCTAGCTTTAGATCGATTGAGTATGTTATTTTCATTAATACTTTTATAAGTGCATACCTACAATCATGTAGGTACTTGTTATGAATTATTAAGTTGTAAACTATGTTAATAAGAAATTGCTATTAAGTAATGTTTTAGCATTGAAAATGCATTATTTTGATCGCTTCAGTCAGTACCTATTCGTTATAAAAAAAATTGACTGGGGGCCTAGAGTGCTCAATTAATATAGGATTAATGGATAAAAATTTAAATGAAGACGCGCGACTGATGAAAAGGCTACAAAGACTGATGAAAAGGTTTTAAAAACACAACTATCGGATTTTTTTTTTAAGTAACATCTTAAATTTTTTTTTTCCAAAATTACTTAGTTGTAATAACTCGTCGGTGAGGTATATTTGTAGGTGCCCACCTTCCTGTATTAAGTTCCTTGTGAAGGTACTTTTTACAAAAAATGTGATTTAAAATGCCGTAGGTAGGTACAATTTCAAAAAGAGGGTATTACATTATAATATTAATGTAACTAAAACTAAAGGAGCTTAAAATAGGTGTATCGAAATGAAAGCAATTTCAACGCGCCAAAACTTATTTAAACAAGTTGTTAAGTTTTTGTTTAGCTTTTTATTTAGGTTTGCAAGTGTAACTAATAAATTAATTGTTCCTAACTGATGTATTTAATGTAACTTTGGCCTCTGGAATGTTATCATTATCTACAACGATTTTCGTAAATATTTTAAAACAATTTTTTATTACTAAATAGGTAGGGTATTAATATGTGTATGTTTCTCGATATTAGATTTACTTGAATTGAACACTGAATAGTGTAACAGTGTTGGTGTAAACTTTAACTCACTATCTTGGATTAAATGTGGGAATCATGAGATTGATAAATATTTCACAGCAAATGCAAATAACAAATACCATCGAAAATTTATTCATATCATAGCAAAAATCATCCAGTGAGTCAATGTTAACTGGTTTAGCATAGTTCATGTAATTATGTATCCATGTATTACCTACCTAACATAAAAAGAAATAAAGAATTAACTGTCTATTATCTTATTAGGTATATAATTTTAATTTAAATATCCTATCCCTAGCCTAGGTAGGTACGTATATGTTACGTACAGAGGATAGTACATTCTTGAAGTAAAATAAAATAATTATGCAAAATAACACAGAAGTACCTGCATCTCACTTAACACTAGGTGCGATTGCGGTCAAATACCTGCCTGTCGTGCATAAAAAAAACCTAGATGCACAGAGTTTAACTTGAAATAGTGTGAAAAATTGGTAGTTAGTTACACAATGACTTCGCTACATACTTTGCCAGGTATTAAGTAGTTGCTCAAAAGGACTAGTAAATATTATTACCTTCATAATAATCCTGCAAAATAACAAAAATGAAATACCTTTTTAATTTTTTACATGTATTAAGTAGGGATGTTATGGATAATTATGTATTTAGTTTCGGTTATGGATATGGTTACGGATATAGGAATAATATTATACCGGTTTCGGTTACGGATATTTTTTTATTTCGGATATCTGAAAATTTCGGTTACAGTTACGGATATCTGTGCTTTGGAATGCAATTAGCAATAGTTGTCCAACACGGTTCATTCATGGCCGCACACTTTACATCGAATAAAAAGTAATAAAAAAATAAAAATTGATACTAGATGGCATTATAAAGGTAGTAGGTAGTATATCAGGCTGTTATACCTTTATTGCTATACAAACTGAAACTTCTGAATAGGTTACGGTTTCGGATATTTTTTTATTTCGGATATCCGAAAGTTTCGGTTACGGTTACGGATATCCATAACATCCCTGGTATCAAGTGTGTTAAAAAATCTGACTACATATTGGGATGTGTAAAAGACATAATTTAAAGAGTATGTAAAAGTGATTTTTAAAAACCTTGCAAAATATAAATGAGTGTTTTATTACCACTACCTATTAATTTAATCAGATATTTAATTATGTAGTTAAATAATTAGGAATTGCTACCTAATTAAAAATTGACTTTTAACAAAAGTGCACTAACCAATGCAAAATAAATCGCTGTATTGTAGGTAGGTAAATAGGTTTTGAACTTAATAACTTTTTACAGTAAAGTCACCCGCTAGCATGCATTGCCAATTCGCTTCGCGCAAAAGCGAGAGTAATAAATAATCAAGACATTTTTACATTACCATCTTTATTACAACTAAATTAGAGTTTATAATTCAAGGCCAAGAGGGTGCTTCGCCTTCCTTCACCATGCCTCCGTACAGCTTCGACTTGTCTCTGAAGTTGGTCATCCTCAAGGTCTCTTGATCATCCAAGTACTTTCCAACAAGGAATCCGGAGATAGGAACCGCAAACCATACGTAACGAGAGGTGATACCGAAGATGGCCATTTTAATTCTGTTTCAGCGCCTTCCACTTCCTAGTATGATTCCAGTCGAGGAATATGAGGATAGCAGTGACAGTCGGGAACGATATGCTCACGAAGTTCCTGCGGAGGAACTTTGTAAACGCCATATACCTGGAACCAGACAGAAAACATACGATTAATAATTTATCATGGATCTCTTACCTTTAACATGTACTATAACTTATTATCAAAAATATCAAAATAGCCTAGGAACTTAAAATATCTCAATCAATAACTGCCTTTTCAAATTACAATCAAACACGCTTTCTGCCAAAAATTGTTTGGCCGACAAATATCTGAGAATGATTGCCAACTTTACATTGAGCATGTTAATTTTACTTCCGGTGCAAAAATAAATATCTATGAAAGGCAGAAGCACTATAGAGGATATTGAAAAATGACAAAATTACAGCATTCAACTGCAAAGAATTCCCTATTGTGAAGAGCAGAGCGATGCAATGTGATGACAAAAGAACTCTGATACCAGTTGAAGCTAATATGGACTGTTGTAAGTTATATGACCCTCGAGAATTATTATTCACTAGCTCCATCGAGTAGGGCTTTGCAATGCTAGAAAGCAATGACTGTTAAAATGTGTCTAAAACGAAATATTATCTTAGTATCTTTCTTGATCTGCAGCAATGTACTATTTGGATTTTGATATTTGTATTTTTTCTGTGATATAATGACATTTAATTTTGCTTGTGTTGTTTCAGGTCTTATGCTAATGTTCAAAGCCAAGTCTGTCTTTGTTTCTACTAATTGTGATGGTAAATTTGTTTGTGCTTTTTTCTATATTCTGTGTCATCATTTTTACACATTTAAACAAATAAAGTGATTTGATTTGATTTAAAAAAAGGTAAATGTTACAAAATTCTAGAACTTTTATTTTTTCATAAAGATTACTGTACAAAATTTTTACTGAATTAAAACTACACTCGCGAGCAAAACTATGGAATCACTTACATGAAGTTGTTTCCACGCGATCTTGTGTACTAACGAATTTGTTAGTAACAAAAAAAGTGGCACCATTATAAAGATTAAACTTTTACCTTTAAATTGATACCAAATTTATTTAAATTACACCAGTATTTCAAAAGATATCGCGGCTGATGTGAAGAAGTAAGGAAAAAGACATGTATCAACTGTTTGATACGTCGCGAGTTGCGGCCCATTTACCCCCTATAAGAGCACGTGTTTTCGTATTTTTGCTTTCACACGTTGATCCATACACATCTCAGCTTCTTTTGACACTTTACCTGGGATTCTACACCTTCAGCAGCAGCACAAATCCTTGCACTATTGCAAGAAGGGCTCAGCCAGCGGGCTGTCGCATGTCAGCTCAACATAAGCCAGTCCTGGGTTTCGAAAGTTTTAAGACGCTTTCGGGAGACTAGTGGCTTTATCCCGAGACCAAGTTCTGAACAGCGCCAGTGCACATCGCAGAAGGATGACCGTTTTTTCATGTCAACCTCTCTATGAAATCGTCATTTGACTGGTATCGACGTCCAGCAAGAGCTCAGAAATGTTCGTAGGATAGCTGTTAGCATGTGGACAGTTCGTCTAAGATATAAGCAATAGAATTTGACTCCAAAAAGGCCTGCCAC